TATCCCATACATTTACAGTACGCACACTGTCTGCTGTGTTCTGAAGGAACTTTACTCGAGGAGCACATACCTATATTCCGAAGTTCTAGGAGGCTGGGACAGGAGGATTGCAACTTCAAGAGAACCAGGCTAGGGAGTTAGTGACCGAGCGACACCCTGGCTCAAAAATAATGTTTGAAAAATTGTAAAAGGTGAAGATGTGGCTGAGATTCAAGGCTCTAGGTTTAATCCCTACCACTGTAAATCAGACAAACAAACACCCCTATATTTAGTATAATTCTCACGATAAACAGAAGGGATATTATCTTGAGTCAGGTGAGCAAATCAAAGCTTTGAAGATCTAGTAATGTGCCCGTCTGGGTCACTCACACGGGCAGCAGTAACGCGGAGCCCAGAGTCCCCTGCCTGGCACCCCAGCCTGCCAGCTCCTGCACAAAGCCCTGGGCAACGCCCTGCCTGGCCCCTGGGAGCCCTACGGCCGCTCTGCAGCCTTCGCAATTTTAATTTCACTCTTGATTTAAACACAGAATTGATTTTTTTTTTTTTTTTGCACTACCCCAGGCTGCTTTTGACTTGCTTCCACTAGAAAGAAACAGCCATGTAGATTTTCACCGACCTTGTTTCCTCTGGGGAGGGCGGTCTGGTTTCCGGGTTGCCCTGTTGTGATGGGTGTTCTCAGCTGTCACCTTCGGAGTCAGGTGGGGCGGTGAGCACCCGCTCGCAGCTCGTGGCCATGAAGTAAACGCTGCGGAACTGGTGCCACTGTTCCCTGTCTGGGCGGCTGTGACCAAGTTCACCGGGAAGCTGTAGTGTGCTTACGTGCATGGGGTAGAAAGGGAGACATTTTCAAAGATGACGCTACAGGCAGACAAGGCTTGGTGACAGACCGTGCGTCCCTTGAATCTTAGCAGTTTTAAAATGTCCACCCAGCCTGCTGGGACCACATGGTGTCCTTTCCCCTTCTTGGGGTAATTATAAACAGTGCTGAAAGGAGACACTGCTCTGCAGTAGGCAGGGCAGGAGCATGAGCGGGAAAACGTGCAGCTGCATTTAAAGAGCACACAGTCTTCAGAAAAAGTAGAAAACAGGCACAGAAAGGTTTGCAAGCACGGAAAGCGATCCAGCTTTGAGGGGCCTGGTACCCGTTTTTCTAATCAGGGATGAAGCACTGCTACCGGTTTGGCTGCTGGAGGGTTGTGGCACGGGTGGGCTCCCCCATCTGGTCCTGGAGGCTCCCAGGAACCACTGCAAGGCCAGTGCCGGGCCTGTGAGCTGCCCTGTGGCCTGCCTATCAGCTTTAGATTGGCATCAGTGCCCAGCAGACCTAGGCCAAACCACAAAGCTGAGCAGCAGCCATAGTGGACATAAACTGCACCGCTGACCTGAAATGTGTGGCTCGGTACCGTTCACCGTAACTGCTCACCTGTACAGCTGCCGACCTAACTGGACAATGAACGTATCTGAGTCCCTAAAGCTCCTCGTATCGCTCCTCCTCAGTCCTGGTCCCAGATATTTGAGCCCATTCTTTTCATTAATACAATAGTTTCTGTTTTCCAGTGTGTGACGTAATTGGATTTGTACAGCCTTTTTCTCTGGCTGATTTCATTCACTGTAATTACTCTCCGGCTGAGCCATTTCTGTTGCTTGTATCAATCATGCCTTTCTTTTCACTGCTGAGTAATATTCCCATGCGTGGGCATAACAAAGTTCGTTTACCCACTCACCTACTAATGGGCACTTGTCTTATTTCTGGTTTTTTCTATTCAAATTAAAATTTTTGTGCACATTAGTTAATACAATGAAATTATGACTTCACCAGTGCTGACAGAATTGCTAAGGAAGGCACGGCTGGATCGTGAGACAGGTGTCCGTTTCACTGCCTGTGAAGGTGCTTTTTAGAGTGATCGTCATTCTGCATTTCCTTCAGGAGCCCGTGGTGAGAGCCTCGGCCCTCCGCTGCGCCCTGTGCCCCTCGTGCGGTGCGCCTGGCACAGCCTCATTACCTCACTGTGTATTAATTTGAAATCCCACAAAGACTAAGTTAGGCGTCTTTTTTGTTACTTACAGTCCATCCTTGCATCTTTGCAGCGGTGTCTGTTTAAATCCTTTGCCCTTTGCTAGCTGGGTTGCTTATCTCTTGATTGGCCAATCAATCCCTTTTAATTTTCATTCTTCATGTAGTTTGCAGGACAGAAAGATTGCGTTTGCCATGGGAGCTGGTGCATGCACACAGCACACCTCGGACCTTCTTAAATCCCCTCCCTGGCCGCTTCCCCTCTTCGTGCATGGTGCAGGTGCAGATCTGTTGTCCACTGTGTGTTTGCAGATCCTGTGCTCGGACTCTGCCTTTCCTGAAGGAGGAAATGTGGGAACACGTGGTGAAGTCCACCTTCTCAATCTGTAAACATTTTGTAGTTTGTTTCTTTTGTGTTTAGTTCAGGAATCTTTTCAAACTCGCGGGACCCCTATCTCCTCCTCTGTTTTTTACTACTTTGGGGCCTTAAAATTTTACATTTAGGCCTAGGATCCTTTGTGATTTATAGTCACGGAGGTCTGAGGTTAGGGTTAGAGTCATTTTTCGTGGACATGCTCAGTGGCTCTGCAGTGTCACTCTTTTCAAAATGATCCTTTGTCAGAAGTCGATTAGGGCAGATGCTTTAATATACATATTTCTGAACTCTTTTGTCTGTTCCGGTGATGTGCTGGTCTGGAATTAGGTTGATGCCATATCACTTTTGATCCAGCTTTATAACAAATCTTGGAATAAGGTTCTGTAACTGTTCTCTTGATGAGAAAGTCTGTGTTAGCTACTGTCGAGCTTTTACATTTCCATGTAATTTACAATCAGCTTGCTAATGCTTGTGATGACAGCAACAAGGAAAATGCTTCCTAACATTTTAACAGGATTTTGCTCAGTGTAGCATCTCGGGAAGAATATCTTGATGTTGAATCTTTTACCCAGAAACGTGATATATCTCTCTCCCATTGGTGTGTTAAGTGCTTTCAGTGATGTTTTAAGCTTTTCAGCAAATAAACAGCCCTTGTGTAGGTTGGGTCGCATTTATCTCTGCATTTTATATGTTGTGGTGGTGGTGTGATGTTTTTCAATTTCTGATTATTTGTTGCTATTGAGCATCTTCCCAGTGTGGCTGGGATATAGCTCAGTGGCGTTAGCGCCTGCCTGGCAAGTGTAAGGTTTTAAGTTCAACCCCCCGCACCCCCCAAATATAAATGGATGTGAATATCTTCCTAGTGTTTTTACCCTGCAGGCTCATATCCTGTGCAAGCTGGCCAGCCTTACTCAGGAGTTACCCAACTCAGGAGTTGAGGATTCAATCAGCTTTTTTGCATAGATGCTCATGTGGCCTGCAAAGACAATTTTTCTTCTACCTTGCCAAAAGAAATAGGTTTACTTCTATTTTTTCTTGATTGCACTGACTAACCCTGTTGAATAGAAGCTGTCAGAGTAGACATTCTTGCTTCAGTCTGGGTCACAGGATATATATGTGTCTACTTTTGAGCTTTTTAACCATGAATTGATGTTAATTTTGTTTGATGCTTTTGTTCAGTTCTGTTTCCAGTTCACACTGACGACATTTACAGTGGGGAGTTGGTACATGTACGTAATACACCTTCATTCTGGTTTTTCATTCTCTTCTCCTCACCCCCTTTTTCCGACTTTTGGTCTTCTTCCCATTTGCAAAAGCCTCTATTTTCTTCATATTTCCCTTTTCTTCTTTATTTCCCATCCCTTCTTCCTCCCTGTCCTTTCGCTCCTCCCACAGGCAATTTCTTATTTCCTCATCCACTTTGAAAAGATTTCCCTCCTTCGTAGCTCTTTAATTCTCTCTACTTTGGTGAGCTAGATTTTCACATAGACTATTGAAGCAGTGGACCATGATGAGCTGAGGAGTGAGGAAAGCGAGGGGTCAGCTGTAGCGAGGAGATGGTCTGGGTGCACCTCGGGATCCTGGGACACAGCGTGGTGAGGTCGTCATGACGACCACACATATAGTAAGCAGGTGATCGCCATCCTTTATGGATGCCCACCTGCCTGACTGTGCGCCTTCTTCCCTAGCTCTGAGCTGCTTGAGGTAGATATGCGATGGCAGTTACTTGGATTCATACGTGATTACATTGTCAAATAGATGGAAGGGAAGGGAATTTAATCAAGCATTTTACAAGTTAGTGAATGAATAATTATGTATCATGATCCTTGCTGTTTAAAAGGAGGGAGGATGATGAGAGGAAGATAGTTTCCAGAGAGGAAATCCCAGGACCTACAGATGCACAGCTCTGATGAGGTGGAGGAATTGTTTCAGTAGATATTCAGGAAAGGAGCTGAGGGGGTAAAGCGTACTGGCTAAAAGAGAAAGGTTTGTTTTTGCATATTTTTTAATGATGAAAAGAAGAGGATGCCACACTGATAATGGATGCTGAGGTTGCTGTGCCAGAGCTTGGTCTGAGGAGCTCACAGAATAAGCAGATAAATATCCACATGAAATCTCCTTTCCTGGCGATGTCAGCCATGACAGTGGGGAAATGAGTGGGGGGCACAGACAGGACCAAAGGAGAATCGAAAGTCATGAACGTTAGCGTCTCAGAAAATAAGAAGCTGTTACTGAATCAGGAACGATCAGACGGAATATTATTTCTGTAGTGCATTAACTTTGGTGCCACCACTATGTCAAAGCCACATGAGTTCTGTGTGTCCTAAAGTCCTGCAGTGACTTTGGATAATATGATGTACAGCTGTGATACGTGTGAGTTGTCAGTTATCCATGTAGATGCAGATGCTGTGTATACTGCAACCAGTTATCCATCCTGCAGAGCTCTGCAGAGAGCCTGGGCCATAATAACTTCCGCGTGTTTCTTCCTACTCATGCAGGAACAGAAAGGTTGGCTTTGAAAGACTCCTCCCAGCATGGAAGCCAAAGGTGGGGACTGTCGCGGCTGCGTCCAGCTAGCGCCCATTCTAACTCTGTTTTTCACATTCACAGAGAGTGAAGAAGTTTATCAAAGGCAGGTGCTGTCGATTTCATGTATCATCTTCGGAATTGTCGTCGTGGGCATGTTCTGTGCAGCCTTCTACTGCAAAAGCAAGTAAGGCCATTTCTCCAAAGCGCTTGGTCTTTCTTTGTGTTCTCAGTCTCTTCTGCAAGCAGAGGGATTCTGCGCAAACGGGCCCGGCAGTCATCAGCAGATGACTCAAGACTGGTGTAGACTATAGCATGACTGGGATGTGGACAGGTGGGTGTGGGAGTTACCTTTGCTGCCTAGTGTGGTCATTCACAGGAACTGATCAAATTCCAGGTGTGTGCTGGTCACTAAGGGGCTGACCATGCTGAACAGGAGTTCCCCGGAGTGAACCACTCAGAGAAAAGACGAACAGCACAGAAAACACCTTTTATTTGCTACTCTTTTAACCTGAAATTCCTAAAGATTTTATCCAAACAGAGAGCACTAAATATTTACCTTGTATGGCCAATTGGTATACACATCTGCCCTGAAGTTCACTTGTCAAAAAACTAGAATCTCAGCAGAGGCAGGTGCACTGGGTTTGCACTTTCCTCCAGATTCATTCTGTAGGTGTTGGTGGAAATGATGTGGTCCGCACTTACAAATGCAGATGAAAACATTAGCCTTGGACAGCTGAGCTTTGAAACAGGCGGCCCGGATCTGGTCCCACAGCCTGCCTGAGATACAAGCCGACGTGTAACCTCTTTCCACTGGGCCGATGGTGTCCTGGCCACTTGCTCGTCTGAAACTGATCAGTTTCCAGGCCTGAGAACACCTGTCTACAGGTTGTGTATGTTGACTTTTTTTAGAGAACTACAATAATGACCTAAAACTAACTCAAGGAACTCAGACACAGACACAGACACAGAGATAGTGCCTATTAGTTTTTAATGAACTAGTTTAGAAAAATTCTGGATTCTCAGAACTAGTATACAAACAATACAGAGAATTCTCATACCCAAGACCCACTTCCCCTCTTATTAACGCCTTAGATTAGGTCATTGTGCTCATCACAGACAATGGGATAATGTTGGTAAATGTATCTACAAACCTTCTACAACTGTCTCCCTGGAGTTGTCCAGCACCTGACCTAATTTCCAAGCTGGGCCCAGGCCTTCCACACATGGGCTCCTTGGGGGCATTTCAGACCCAAACTTGAGCAGCTAACATTGACATGGGTTTTACAATAGCGAGCTGCCAATGCCAGAAGGCAGGAATCACAGATGCAGGGCTTTAAAGCTCACCAGCTCCAGTGCGAAGCCCGTGCTGTTCACTCCTGGGCTCTGCTGGCTCCCAGCGTCTGCCAGGCAGATAGGTAACCTACCTAAAGTGAGCCAGATTCCCCACCAACGGCATCCCGCCCGCAAGGTAGTCTCCACGCAGCTCCTGGGTATGGGGGCTTTGAGTTTAGCTGTAGCTACAGAGCTATGGCTACAGTCATTAGGCTGTCACTTGCTTTTGGTATTTGAAGGCAAATTTCATTATATTTCTTAGCCTCAGGTTTTGTCTGTTTGTTTGTTTTTGGTAAAAATATAAGAACAGAAATGGAATCCTCCTGACAGACTGTGCTGAGGACTAGATGGAATAAGACAGGAGAGCTCACAGCACAGTGTTGAAAGAGTGCGTCCTCAGTGACGGCTTCTGTTGCTGACACATACGGCCTCTGCGCCTCTGCATTCTGCACGGAGACCTGCAAGCTGTGAGGCCACAGAGCTAAGTGCTCACCCCGGACAGCCTGCAGGGCCATCACACCTGGCAGGTGCAGGAATGCCTCCTCACCAGAGCTGCGGAGGCAGACAGGGTGCATTTAACAATAAGCAAATTACCATGAAGACACAATTAACTGCTTATTTTTAGACTACAATTTGAATTGTACCACACATAAGTGCAAAGCTGATTTCAGTGGTCACAAGAACAGAGCTGGATCACCAGGGACTTCTGCCTGCGGGGCTGTCGGTCTTCTACCTGGGCAACACATGGGCTCTCAGACCAGCCTGCAGCTTCCGGGGCTCAGCGAGGGGTCGGGGTGTCTCATACAAACACCCTTCAGTGTCAGATTCATGGTAGAGGCAAAGGCCCGAGCTCCAGGGGAGCACCCCGGAGGCTGTCCTTCTGCCTGCCCATGCAGAAACACGCAGCTGTATAGAAAAGTAACAACAGTAAAAATCAAGGCTTTTTCCAGCCAGAATCAGAGTTCTCATCAGGCGCCCAGAGAGCGTGGCTGCCTTCTCCTGCTGACTGCCAGCCTGGCCTTCCTTCTCCTCTGCCTGAGAGAAAGGCCAGGCCCCACTCCAAGCTCTTAGTCCGTGTTACTGAGAGCAGTGCAGACTTTTATTTTACCCTGGCACAAGTTCCTTGTCTGGATTCCTGGCTATTTGTTCCCTTTCTCAAACCTTGAGAGGCAAACAGAAGAGGCAGATAATACTTTGAGCTCCTCTTACTGCCAGGTACAAAATATGTCACCCTTGGTGTGGCATGGCTTAGTTAGAAGGCACGTTAGAGTAAAGTTTGCCTCACATTCCAGCGAGCGGGCCGGAAAGATGCTGACGCACAGATGAAGATCATCTTCAATTTGGAGGGTTTTCTGAAGCAGCTATTGGAGCCCTACAACAGCGCTAAAGACAGGGTGAAAGAATTATCCGTTGATCACTCATGATGAGAGCTGTCCACTGTGGGTACCTGTCCTGGTCAGAGCTTTCCCCTCTGGCTGATGTGCTTCATATGGAGCCGGCAGGGGAGGCTGGCTGCAAGGTGTTTTCTGTGCTCCTCCCGTGGCTGCTCACTGCTCGGACCCTGCCACGGCAGGGCGGCTCATGGGGCAGCAGGTTTTCTACCCTGGAGGTGTCCACAGCAGTGGACCCAAGCAGCCGTCACTCCACACCAGGCGGGAGCACTTTACCTGGAGTCCAAAAACCTAGAATAATCTGTGCCGCCCCTCTTAACGGCAGGGGCAGCACCAAATGCAAGTGGCTTGACGGATGGTGGTGATTCCGAGTGTACCATGCACACTTGCATTGTGTGATGAGTCACTCAGTAACACTGATTCTGAGACCCGGGGCAAACACTTTAACTTGTTTATGCCTCCATCTGCTCATCTACTCAATGGGTGTAATTGACTCATCGAATAGAATCACTGTTAAAAAAATGAGTTAATACTTGTACAACACTTAAAGTGGTATGTTGCACATTGCTGTGTAACCACTAGGTCCTTGAAAGTGAACTTTTCTTATTATCCGGACTGTTGGTAACAATAAACGAACTCTAGCCAAACTGTGAAAGACAGAAAATACAGTTTTATACCTACATACTCTGTGCATGCAGGCTAGACATCTTCACATTGCATACATGTAAGTGTATCTTTGTTAATAAGTTGTGTGGGGCTTCCAGCCGTTCTCTGTAGTGTTTCCAACTCTCTGTAGCTTGACACTTAGGGTCAGAGACCTCTTATAAACACAGAGGCCAGGAAAACATATTGGTTCTGGTCCGTCTGTAGAGTGCCATTGATTATAAATCCCTGGAGGAGACTAAATAATACCAGGCTCTCTCTGGATTGGAAAAACTTCTTGGCAGAGTTGGAAATGAGAGTAGGACTCTCTGTTAAGTAAATTTATCTACCTTTACAAATGACAGATGCAGCCACTGGGAATGCACGGATCTCAGAAAATTAAGTGTACAGTGAGTGTGTGTAAATACTTACGCATGATTATCCCTGCAGGAAACAAGCTAAGCAAATCCAAGAGCAGCTGAAGGAGGCTCAGAATGGCACGAGCTACAGTCTCAAAGCATCCAGCACGATGTCAAAGCCGGAGAGTTTGGGGAAGAGCCACGTGCAGCTGCACAGCGTAAGTCATGTTCCCAGGATCTCCTAGAGCCCAGCTCGGGCCCAGCTCAGGAGGCCACGGAGCCTGTGAGCACACATGATATTTTCCAGTACTTCAGAAAGTCATCTCCCAAGTCTGTGGTGTATGTGTGTGCGTGCGTGTGTATGTGCATGTGTGCGTTGAATGAAAGAGAAAAATCGTCTCTGATTTTAATCCAAATCAAGACTGATGTCTGATAGGAGAAGGTGCTTCAAGTGTTTGGCTCCTAAACACTTTTGAATCCTTCCTTCGTGCAGAAATAATGTCGGGCACCAGGAGTATGATGCTCTCTGCCCTGTAAAATGTTCGGTACAGTGAGAAATGCAGCCACCACCAGGCCAGTGCAAGGAGCGAGTGCTGAGCCGCGATGGTTCCTGTGGTAGCAGAGGCTGGAAGAGAAGAACCCAGCAAGAGGAAGGCGGGGCACAGCTGAGGGCTGCTCGGAGACGGCCAGGCCTTCCCTGGGCATCATCAGATAGAGGACCACCAGCAAGCCATTAGGATGCACACACAGAAAGCAGAGTCCCAGAATTCCACGAGCACTTGCACCTTCCGGCCTCCCCAGGTTCTGGGGTACAAGAGGGCTGAGGGCTGGGGGTGAGGCTGTGCTACCAAAGTTATCTCTAACAAGGCTCTTGGGTGGACACCAGGACATGAATTTACACGCAGATTCTTTCCCTTTTAAGTCTTTGGAAAGTTTTTTTTTAAGTGATTGCTTAGTTTTAAAAATTTTTAAAGTGTTTCCAGACTGGCAATTATGCTGTTTTTAAAAATTATTTTAAAGAGAATAAAAGATAAAAACGAAACAGAATTTCAAAACAACAATATGCATATTGTTGTCTTCAAAATAACTGCTCAGTTACCAGCTATAAGCATGCAAATTTGCTCAATCTGGGCAAAAACTGTTCCTTTAAATGGACTAACAGGAAAAGTAGTACAATTATCTTAGCCATCTTGTGTGAATACATATATTTTTTTCCTAGTTGTTCTTTACCTGTCACAGTATCTATGGTACCTTTTGGATGTTACTTACTCTTTGAGTTTCTTACACTAGGGAGACAATATAATGTTTACACATGTGAGTCTGATGTGTTTCATTTATGAGTATGGTCTCAAGTTACAACCATTTACCTATAAAAGCCTTGAGTTTATCTTTCTTTATAGCTGAGTAGTATTCCATTGTATAAAAATATCACATGTTTCATGTCTGAGATATATCCCAAAACTAAGTCAAAGGGAAGGGACTGTGATCAGTGCACCCTGAATGTTCCTCCTAAGGTGCCTCTTTGCCATCATGTTGATATGTGTCTAGATCCTGAGCACTAAAGGAAGAGAGGCCTCTGTGTAAGGCTAGTATTGAGTGTAAGAAACAATCGCACAGGGCTCACTCACACCCATCCAAACCCTTGCACTGCTGGGAATTCATGGAGCATTTGTGATTCTGAAAGTTTATTACCCAGAAAGTCTCCATGATGGTGCACATGGCAGACGGACTTAGATGGTCCAAGGTGGAATTCACAAATCAGAACTGCTTTCCAGCAGAAAACCTTTATCCATGGCAATGAGCAGTGGTTGCTCTTTTTAGAAACACCCGGACACCCAGGGCATTTAATGAGGGTGCTCTCAGGCCCTGGGATGGGGTTGGCGAGGGGCCTGTTTTAGGTCCTGGGCAACCAGTGCTGTGGAAGCCGAGCAAAGCTGGACCCCCACGGAGGAATGGGCATGGATTTCCACCAGCCACAGACCATCACCACAGGGAAGGTCAGCTCCAGCGAAGATGGCCTTGCAGAGGTTGAGGGAGGGAGGAGAAAGGCAGGCAGGCTTCCCTGGAGTGAGGACTGGCAGGGTACGAAGGGCTGGCCAGGGTGAATGCTGCGGGGTGTCACATCTGCAGCAGTGCTGGAGCTGGGGACAGAGCCCCTGTCCTCTGTGAGTCATACGTCAAGGCCGTGGCCTTTGGGTCCTTGCGAACAAAGGTCCTGTGGTGCAGGAGATGCATACTCATCTCTTCATGATCCTTCCGAAATAGGAATGACCTCTCAGCTGCTGGTTAAAACAAACTTTTTGTTCTCTCGCCAGCCTTGAGTTTTACATCTTTTGGTTTCCATGCAGACACATTAGGGGCGGGGTCAGCCCAGGAATCCAGCCTTAAGCTAAACTGGTGTGCACATCTTTTCCTCGGGGACAGAGGAGGTGGGTGAAAGCGTTTGCACAGAGGCTGACGCTTCTGTAGGCTAACAGCGAAGCAAGGCAGGTTGGAAAGGGGGTCTCTGAGTTGCTGTTCATTTTATAGGGTTATATTGCAACCAGAGCACACACACACACACACACACACAAACACTCGCACACATGCACACACGCACAGTGTACCGTGCCCAGCACATGGTGGATAGCGTTTTCTGCCTGCAGTACACTTGTCATGCACTCATCGGGATGGTTACACAGTGGTTCCCAAAGTGACCATAGCACAGTCTTCATCCATCCCCATACTAGGGGACAGACATTCAGGGTCTTTTCTGTGGTTGCAAGTATCACAAACTTAAAATGATGTGTTCATTCATGTGCTCTGCCCACCCTCATGGGATCAGAGTTGTGATGATTAGAATCATAAGAAAGAGGGGCTAGCTGCAGGGTTTCCAACACTTGGAAGACCTTGGGAGCTGTGATTTCATGTCCTTTCCCTCGCCCCCTTCCCCCCAGTCCACCAGAACTTTATGTTTTGGATGTTGGTACAGAGCCACAATAGTCTCAATGGCTCCTTTCTATAGGGCCCCGGAAAAGGTGTATGGCGGTATCTTTTGTATTCCTACTATTGTTGCATAAGAAGAGAGAAGGACAGAACAATACATTTTTACTTCTTTTGGATTTATTAACATGGGCATCATGTATTTAAGTGAATAATGGACTATTTAGGATCTAAGCTTCTATATCCCATTAGGCTGAGAGGGTCTGGAAGGGGAAGGTACACTATGGGAGGGCAACCAGAAAAGATATAAAACACAGGATTTGTTCATCAGGCGTGGCCCACAGATGAGCACCTTCACTATTGCTAAGAGTTGGTTAGAGCAGGCTTTCCTGGAACAGTAGAGGGAGACATTTCTGCAAATAGAAATTTTCCTTAAAAGGAAAATATGCGCCCTGTTTGCCGAGCCTCATCTGCATCTGCGTTCTCAGTGATTTTAGCTCAAAATAATCCGTTTGTCAAAGAACTTTTGCAGTTGCATGTTCTCACATCCCCTCTACATGTAAGATATTTTGTCTCTCAAATACAGTGTGATTGCAGAAGATTACACATTCTAAGACACTTCCAGTGTAACGGGAGAGTCCAGGGAGAAAACAGATACAGCAGAAGACGTTTAAGGACCCTAAGGAAGGAGAGCAAGGTGGATTGAACACCAGTATGTACCAGGCCATTGCACTCTCCAGGTGACCAGCTGAGATACAAGGCACTCTCCGCAGACTGGAGGCTATAGGCATTTTCTCAGTGATACAGCAGTTTCTGGCATCCACAAGGCCCTGGGTTCCATCCCTTGCATCCAAAAAATAAAACAGTAAGAACCAGATTGAGGTAAATACGTTGCTTTTGCACAGACATCTGTCAGTGTCAGGGCTAGAAGGCCATGCTGGTCACTGCCAAATTTGTTTTATCATTACTAGGTTTTTACGACAAAAGTCCTGGGTCTGGGGATACCAACAGATCGAGCTTGGGCCCTCACCTCAAAACCCCAATCCAGAAAATGGATGTGGTGAAGGGTCAGAAAGAGGCTTTAGTCAGGTTGGCCGCATGGGAATGACTGGTGAAGAGATTCAGTGACCATCTTTAAGGAGCTATGGGAAACTGAGGTATCAAAAAAAGGCCGCCAAAGGCAAGGTTTGGGCTTTGCATGGCTAGGGGCTTGCCCAATGGCAGTGTAGGTAATACTGATCAAGATGCAGTCTGGCCAATCGTCATCTCTGGACTGGTGCTGTCAGGAAATGCTTTTGTTGGAGGAGGAAAACCTGGTTCTCGTGAGGTGATCGCTCCTGCTCCTCAACAGTGACCTCAGTTCCTTTGTGGTGTGAATGCCTAACAGGCGGGGCTTTTCCTGGAATTCAGGTGACTGCTGGTTTGGGACAAGGAGTGGGGACACACAGGAGTCCCTGTGGGGATTCTGGAAAAGGACATGTTGTAAAACCCGGTGTCTTGGTTACTTTTCTCTCGTTGTTGGGGCAAAATACCCAGCACCCAAAATGAAGGAAGAGAAGGTTTGTTTAGCTTACAGTTTGTGGAGGTTTCAGTCCATAATCAGCTGGCTGCAAGATAGGGTGGCGTGGCACTGGGGCAGCACTTAAAAGCAGCAGCCAGAGCAGAAAGAGAAAAGCAAGCCTCTTTACCTCTCTTATATTGTGCTCAGGCCATCCCTAACCCCAGGGCAGGTGTAGCACAAAGTGAGGATCCTGGCTCCCTGCTGAGCCTCTCAATTAAATTTCTGAACTCCTCAAGTTGATACAATGCATCAACCCTAACAGCCAGGAACTGAATTTTCAATGGTGGAGACACCTTACTCTAAATCTGCATCTTTGGTAAACTTAGTACTAATGAATGATCCTTGTCTTACAGCTTTTAGACAGAAACTTGAGAAGCATGTATAGGAGTAATACCGAGCAGAGAGCTGACCCAAAGTGTTAAGGAAGGAGGGTAGGAAACAAAGGCAGGGATGCCAGGCTTTATCCTGTCTCTGTTGCCCCCGGGGCATCTGCAGGCCATGCCTCTGGGTCCTTGTTATGATATCTTTATCAACTTTTGCTTTGCTAATGTCTCAGCAGGAAGTGGCATTCTTTGCAATTTTGCATTGGTTAATTCAAGAGTGAAATATAATGTTTAGCCATATATTTCTAGTCATATTTCTTGTTTGGTGAATTACACACAGATACCCTTGGTTCACAGTGTTATTATAGGAAGCAAACACCAATTTGGCAGCAATTTTCCATGCTGTAAGTTT